CCTCAGGAAGCGAAGTGAATGAGCACACAAAGAGTCCGCTGGACCCTAACCATTATGCCTGTATGCCATTCAAAACCCCAAGATCAGAATTTATATAAAAAATAATCAGAAAGGGATTACCAGTAGGGTGCTTTCTAGACAGTTTCATAAGCTTGCAGGACACAGAATCCTAGTACTCCTAAGATTGTCTCCCCAAGATGTTTGAAGTCCAAGTGATTTGGTTTAACTGCTCTTTGGCTGGCTATTGGAATGAGTGTCCTGTTACTGTAGCTTACTTTATTTACTTATGCAGCCTTAAGTGTGTACACAAACTCCACAGGCTTCTTCATCCTGCCCTTTGTCTAAAATTTTTGGAAACTGCTCTGCAGTCTCAGGTAAGCAAACTGTCTGTGCCTGTTTTGTTGAAGATAGTCTTACATCCCAGACAACCTCTTTGTAGTACAGTCAGTTAGCAAGACAACTGCAAATCTGGAAGGAAGAAAAGGGACCTCTAGGCAGTGATGCTGGTCTCCATGAACTTCCGTTCACACATATGTGAGTTCTTTATACCATGTGCATAGCTATGCTTAGTTAGGTTAGATTTCGGTTGCCATGGGAAAATCTATTTTGAAAAAAGCAAAGAAAAGGTAAGGTGACAGATGCAGGCTTGTAATTCTAGCATTTGAGAGGCTGGGAAGAGAGGATCAGCCTGGGCCATATAACTGACTTAAACAAAACCAAACGAAATCAAAACCAAAACAGGCAGCAAAAGAGGAGTTGGGAGGTTTACTTCCACTATGCTCCCCTCCCAAAAGTTAACAGTACAGTGGTCAAGGCTTTGGCAAATGGAGCCAGGTGACATTTAAGACCCAAGTTCTAATAGCCTACATGCTCTTCAAACAAAATGCTAACTGATTTGGTTATATAGTTTCTCAGGCCAAAGAAGTTCAGAAGCAGAGAACCTTCACGTGGGGAACACACAGCAGGGTTTTCTGGCAATGGCAAGACAGTGATAGACTAGAGGAGACAGAAAACGGCCGTGTGAAACACAACGCACCCTTCCCATTCCAGGTTCATCACACATGCAACATTTCACTTAACCAGAGGCTCCTAGGACTGCACACCTACCTAGGTTTTTGTAATAGGTAAACACATGCCAGGAATAGGTAAGATATATGTAAGACTGGCTACCTAGAAAAGCTTAAATTATGATCACAGCCTTGATTTAAGCAGGAGGGAAATAATATTTCCAATAAACTGAAATGTGCAAAACATTGATACTTAAAGGGAAACGGTTTCCTAAAAAAAACTAGGAAACAATCAGTTAACTGTGGTGTCATTGTTCGCGTGCCAGGAATCCTAACTAATTGCTTATCAGAAGTAACTAGTCTGGATACAAATGTAATGAACAAAGAAAACACCACGAACCATCATGTGAAAATGTTCGACAAAGGAAAAAATTAAATATAAGAATTATGTTGTCTCTCTGCAGACAATCCTATTATCTGTTGCTATGGAGGACAGGAACAGGACATGTAAATACAATTCACAGGGAATCCAAATGACTCAATTTTAGTCAATAATTCCACAAACTGCATTAACATCTTTCATCAGAGCTTCTCTAAGTGCTTAGCTGGTTTGAGTGCCTGTCCGCGCCTCCAATGCCTGCCTTCTGGAACATGTGCTAATGAGCTCTGAGAATGTTTAAAGGTAGGCAGCAGGAAGGAGCTGTGCAGGCACCAACAATTTGTCGTCTGAATAATCAGCGTCTGCATAATTAAAAGTTGACTTGCATTCTCAACTACTGATAACTGGCAGGCTCTATTAGAACAGTTGCTAAAATTTTCTCAGAAAAAAATGACTGCAACACAGTGAGTAATGTCAGCCTTGTGAGTTATTTATAGATTATCCTCCGGCAGAGGAAGGCTCAGGAACTGAGTAGGGTGCTGGTGTCAGAGTTGAATGTCTCTCTAATTATTTCTAAAAAATTGAGTATTGATTTTTAAAAATTACTCAATATTTCGCATTAGTCACCTATTAGTGGATAATAGGAAGAGAGAATATGTATGTATCATGTCAGCCACAGTTAATAGGTGACATTTTGTATATAAAAATAAGTGAGTGACTCTTTAGCAAAAGTGTACTTTGAAGTGTCCCTGGTGCATATCAAATGGGATTTAAGTAAAAGAAAAACAACATAAGGACGCATCCATACTTCCAGGACATAGCCACCCTGGTAAATAGTTTGCAAAATGAGAAGTGTATGTAGGTGTCAGGTAATCAAGGGAAAGCAAAGGGCAGTTAGCTAGCTCAGGACCACACAGAGCCTCAGGAAGAGTTGTTAAGACAGGAATCCTGATACAACACAGATGTGCCCTTCCCACGGGACAGAACCACACACACCTGTACCACAGTCTGGACGCTCATCAGTGGACAGACATACTCCCTGAGGTGGGAACAGAGAGAAGCTTTTGAGGAACTTTGATTAAAAAGAATTTATGCAAAGATAATAAGATACGTTCTTATAGTTCTTTGTCAAAGTCTATCCTAGTTAACACTGTAATCCTTCTTCTGTGCCACTAATGAAACAGCTGCTAATGAAATTCAATGAGAACACTAAACTGGGAGGTGTTGGAACCCAAGGAAACAATAAAAAGGGATATAACAAGATCAGAAGTATGAATAGACTGAAACAGAATCAGATGGAAGCGAACACTGCTGGTGGCATATAACTGGCACAACTCAACTGGAGGGCAAATCTGAGGTATGTATCAAGTGCCTTAAAAATGTCTGTATGAAAATATTTTTAGCATTTAGATTGTTTCTAATATTAAAAACTAATTAAAATTACAGAAAGAATACATGGTAGCTATGTAAAAATTAGAAACTGAAAATTACAGACAAGGACAGTCATTTAAAATACAGTTAGGCAGGGCCAATGGCTTTGTCGTATTGTCTTTGCAGTGGCCTCTTCTAGTTCTATGTATGAAATTATTACTATTGTTATTATTTGGACAGGATTTTGCTATGTAGACCAAGCTGGCCTTGAGCTCACCATTCTCCTGCCTCTGCCTCAGGCTCATGAGTACTGAGATTGTAAGCATGGGACTGATGTCCATATGGACATTTTAACATAATTTATGACAAGGGCACATGGTGATTTGTAAGCACTTCTTTTTACATTATATGCCATGGCCATTTAAAAAAAATCCCAATTGAAAATGCATTAAAAATGTAATAAAAAAGAAAACGAACTATCTTAGTTAGGGCTTCCATTGTTGAGATACAACATCATAACCCAAAACTACCTGGGGAGGGAAGGGTTTATTTCCTCTTAGAACTCTCATGTGACATGCCTTCACTGAAGTCAAAGTGGAAACCTGGAGACAGGAACTACAGCAGAAGGCACAGAGGACCACTGCTTTGTGGTGAGCTCAGCCTGTTTTTTATATACCCCAGACTATCTTCCCAGGGTGGCACCATCCGCAGTGCCCTTCCATACCAATCATTACTGAGACGTGCCTACAGGCCAATCTTATGAAGGCATCTTCTCATTTAAGACTCCTTCTTCCAAGACATGTCTAGGTTTGTAACAGGTTAACAAAAACTAATCAGGACATCAACAAAATGACACTGTCAATCTCATAGACAAAGTGGTATTTTTATTTAACTTCTAGAGAGAGGATATAGACTGTCATTTTTATCATGATAATGTGTTTGATAGTGTACACTTATGAAGTTTCATGGAGAGGGTGTGGGTGTAGTTCAGTTGCTAGGCAAGCATCAGGCTCTGCATATTTTTCAGTATGGAAAGTCTCCTTTATAAAATAGAACCCTTTGTTTTATTAGATATCCTGAGTTCTACGATTTCATATTAACTTTGTTAACTTGTAATTCTTCTTTTGCTTTTGTTTCTTTGAGACAGGGTTTCTCTGTGTAACAGCCCTGGCTGTGCTGACCTCACTTTGCAGATGCACGAACTCACAGAGATCATCCTGCCTCTGCCTCCCGAGTGCTGGGACTAAAATCCTGCACCATTACACCTGGCTACTTGTGATTTTTGACATGCCCCAATACTCCTATTATTGTTCTAACAGTCACTTTTGTGAATGGAACACAGAAGGATCTTTTGTTTGTTTGTTTTTCAAGACAGGGTTTGTCTGTGTAGCTTTGGCTATTCTGGAAACTTGGATCTGTAGACCAGGCTGGCCTTGGACAAAGAGATCTACCTGCCTCTGCCTCCTGAGTGCTGGGATTAAATATGTGCACCACCACACCTGTCGAAAATACATTTTCCGGGGCAAGCAAGGTGGTTTAATGGGTACTTTTCCATGTAAGGCAGATGCTCTCAGTCAGTCCTAGTGCCCATGCTTATGTGGCGGCTGGCATCAGTAAGCTCAGCTGAGGGCAAGATGAGAGGTGAAGTTCATGTACGCAGCGCAGGGGCAAAAGCAGGGAGAAGGGGAGACTCTGCTCTTGAAAAGTTGACTCCTAACCTAGATACATGTGCTGTGGCCTTTCTACAGCCTCTCTCTCTCACACACTAAGGTTTAAAAAGCTTTTCCCCCTAGAATGAATGATGGGGGCTATTTCAAAGTTTCCTAGTACACTGTTGTACCTTGTTAATAGTGTTCTTTTTCTTTTCTTTTCTTTTTTTTTGTTTGTTTTTTTGAAACAGGGTTTCTCTGTGTAGCCCTGGCTGTCCTGGAACTCACCCTGTAGACCAGGCTGGCCTCAAACTCAGAAATCCACCTGCCTCTGCCTCCCAAGTGCTGGGATTAAAGGCGTGCACCGCCACTGCCCTGCAATAGTGTTCTTAATTAAAAGACACAGAGGACCTCAAAGAAGATAGTAGCAGCCACTCCTATTGCAGAGATGTTTGGATATACCTCTGTTTATTTATTCTGTGGGGCAGGAGCACATGCTATGATGTGTATGAAGGTCAGAGGACAGCCTGTGTAGAAGGCATTGGTTCTCTCCTTCTATCACGAGGGTCCTGATGACATAACTCAGGTCCTCATGCTCGTTCTGCAGTGCAGATGCTGAAGCTGGATGTAAAGAGACAATCAGCACGGCCCCTGCACAAAGGTGACATGAACATTTATAAAGTGTTCCATGGGTTTTTTTTTTAGCTGGGTAGTGTTGGCGCACAACTTTAATCTAAGCACTCAGGAGACAGAGGCAGGCACATCTCAGAGTTGAAGTCCAGCCTGGTCTTTAGAGTGAGTTCCAGGATACCCAGGGTTATGGAGAGAAACCCTGTCTCAAAAAAACAAAAACCAAACCAAACCAAATCAAAATAACTCAGGTGTTTGGGCTTTGAGGCAAGCACTTTTACTAGCTGAGCCATCTTTCTGGCCTAGATTTGGATATTTTGAAGAAGTGGCTCAAAGAGCCAAAGAAGGCAGAAAAGAAAACAAGACACTTGTTGGGCCCTGCTAATTAAGGACAAAGTCTATCAGTGTCTTGATAGCCTCCTGAAGCTTGGTTCAAAATGGGGGACTTCCTTTATTAGCAGGGCTTCTCCTTCTCTGACTTTGTCTGGGGAGCCTGAAACCCCTATACCCTCTGCCAAACATCATCTTGGTGAAATTACGGCCACCTCTCCCAATGCCCTAAGAAACCCGTTCAGCAAGCAACTAAGATTCCTGGAGTGCCTCCTCATACTAATGAGGCATCTCAGCACCTCAGCCTTCAGCCAATGACCTTTGCCCACCCTGGAAATTCCTATCCCCTTCCCTAAAACTATGTAACCCTTGATTTACATGCAATAAAGTGTATGTATACAAGCTCATCCCAAATAAAAGAATACGAACAAGCTAAGATCGTCAGAGAAGGCCTTCGTCTAAAAGAGCTGTAACACTAAGAAGGTCTTTGGAGAAGGCCTTTTCCCCCTATCCCCACTTGTCCTTAGCAACCACTCCCAGTTGGACCAGGATACTGTAGAATTCCACTCGTTTTGGACTGCACTTCATCCTTCCAGCCCAGTGTGCAGCAGCATCTGGACACCCTTAGAGGGAAAAGTGTAAGATGCAGAACTGCAGCTAGACCCCAAAATGCATACCACAGAGACTAACTTGAAATGTGATTTAACAGGACCATGGGCCACATAAATGCTAGCTTTCAAATCCTACTGCTTTAAGATGGGGAAAAGAGCCATGTCACAAAGAACACCTATATATTGTATAAATTGGCAGCTGAATTAAGATCTGTAGACAGACAGACAGACAGACAGATAGATACACACACACACACACACAGACACAAAAGAGGATGGAAAAATCTGGACAATGTAATGTGAAAAGTCTGAAGTGAAGAGTAAGCTTCTATAGTTTAGTTAGGCTAACAGAGTAGTAATCTGTCAATAAATCCTAGGTTTAAGCAATATTTACCTTCCTCCCTTTCAGCATAATTAACTAGAAAAGGAGATGGGGAGATGGCTCAGCAATTAACGATACTTGCTGCACTTTCAGAGGATCTCGGTTTGATTCCTAACACTCAGAGAGTACTATGTAAGTGTCTGGAACTCCAGTTCCAGGGGATCTGATGCCCTCTTCTGGCCTCCACGGGCACCAGACATACATGTGGTGCACAGACATACATGCAGGCAAAATACTCAAACATAGAAAATAAATATTTTTTGTTTGTTTGAGACAGAGTCTGTCTATGTAGTTCTGGCTGGTATGGAGCTTGCTATGTAGACCAAGCTGACCTCCAATTCACAAAGATCCTCTGGCCTCTTTGTCCCAGGTATAGAGATTACAGGAGTGCACCACCACAATTGGGGGTTGGGAGGGGAAGACAAAAAAAAACCTAAACAACAACAACAACAACAACAAAACCTTAAAAGGAATATTCTTTCCTTTGTGCATGTTGTGGGCTCAGGTGTTTGCTTGCCTATGGAGATAATCACTCTCCATCCTACACAGTAAGCCAGAGTTGCTCCCTTGAACACACACTCAGCTAGAGTCTGGTTAGCTAGGGATCCTGTCTGTCTCCAGGGCCCTGGAATCACAGGCAGGCCCCATCATCACCGTCTGCCTGGGTGCTAGGGATCTGAACTCTGGTCTTCATGCTCGCACATAGAGTCCAACACCCACTGAGCCGTCTTCCCAGGCCCTCAAAGGCATTTTTTGATAAAATGGAAACCACTTAATAAGAATACTAGAAACGTCTGGGACTTGGAGGGCAAGATCACTGTAGACGAACTGAAGCAGGAGGCAACCAGCACCAGCAGCCAGGCAGAGCCGCCCCAGTGCACCTCTCTGGCATGGTCTGCAGACAGCCACACTCGGTTTGCTGGCTATACAGACAACTTGGTGTGAGTATGGCAGGTGACTATTGGTACCGCTAAAAGTTTATGACCGAGTCTTAGAAATAAACTGGCTTTCTGAAGAAGAAAAAAAAAAGAGAGAGAGAGAGAGAATACTAGAAACGGTTGGGGAAAGGGCTCAGGAAGTAAAAGTACTTGCTCCAAAGCCTAACAACCTGAGTTTGATCTCCAAGACACACATCGTAGAAGAGAACTGACTCATGGACCCATATTATAGTGTATATACCACACACAAAATGATTAAAAGTTTAAAAATACTCTAGTTTTTAAAATTTAATTAATTTATTGTTGTTGTTATATTTATTTGAAACAGGATCTCACTATGTAGCCTGCTGGGGATCTCACTATATAGACCAGGTTGGATTCAGAGATCCATCTGCCTTTGCCTCCTGAGTGCTGGAATTAAAGGCATGTGCCGCCACCACCTAGCTCTGGCTCAAGTTTTTTTTTTTTGTTTGTTTCTTTGTTTTTCGAGACAGGGTTTCTCTGTCTTCCCAACTGTCCTGGAACTCACTGTGTAGACCAGGCTGGCCTCGAACTCAGAAATCCTCCTGCCTCTGCCTCCCAAGTGCTGGGATTAAAGACGTGCGTCACCATTGCACTACAAATCCTCACATAGTTCAGACTGACTCAAACTTGTACAGCTAAAGCTGTCTTAGACTCCTAATCACTCTGTCTTCACCTCCCAAGCTCTGGGACCATACAAGTGTGCTCAGAGCGTCTCAATATGTGCTCAGAGCATAATGATATATAAGACATCTGTGTTTTCCTTTAAGGTCACTGATTTATTTGATGCTAGTCTTCCTTTATAGTGTTTTTCTCCTTAAACATTAGCTCACCCCCCCCTCAGATCTCTCACTCTTTGTCTCTGTCTCTGTCTCTTTCTTTTGGTTTTTTGAGACAGGGTTTCTCTGTGTATCTCTGGGTGTCTTGGAACTCACTCTGTAGAGCAGGCTGGCCTCGAACTCAGAAATCTGCCTGCCTCTGCCTCCCAAGTGCTGGGATTAAAGGCGTGGGCCACCACTGCCTGGCAAACATTAGCTCTCGAAATACCAATAATGTAAGTAAAAAACTACATTTCTGACTTACCTGTGTGACATATGGAAGTTATTGCCTGGGCATTACACTGCAGTTGTAGCATGTGTCTCAGCATGGCTACTCCCCAAATAGTCAAATCTGCCCACAGCCCTGAAGTCACTGCTTTCAGCCTGGGGGACTTTAATCCCATGGTCTGGGTCTGCAAGCTGGCAGCTCTGAGCTGTCTGCACAGTGCAGAGACACTGATGGCACAGATGAATTTGTGTTCTGGGCTATGTTTTTCAGTATGGGGCAAAAGGCTGAAGACAGCATTATAATTACTTTCATACTTCCCATTGACATTGCATCCGGGAATTGGGGGTTCACCTATTTTGCTGTTTTCTTTACTCTCTCCCTGATTTGTGTAATCAAATGTCTTGACCAGATTCTTGCTTTCAGGTAAACAGGTGTCTTTGCTACCAGCCTTGTCACAAAGCATCTTTACAATTCTGTCACCATCTTCAAATTTGGCTAAAAGAGTCATCCTCAGGGCAACATGGCAGAAGACCCCGAGTGTGAGGAGCAGCCCCCCTAGAGAACACTCTGTGCTATGGTAGTGGTCCCACGCCTGCTGCATACATTCCTGGCTGCAATACTTGGCATAGCTGCAGCTGCCACAGGGTACTGTGGCCAAAGTGTGCTTCAGACAACGGTGACAGTAGAGGTCTCCACTGGTAACTCTGGTATCCCACTTGTTCTCCAGGCAATGATAGGGTGGTGGCATTTCTCCTGGGTTAAGGACACTTACAAAAGCATCTTCCTTCACTAGGAGTTCTCCTGGGAGAATGTCTTTTGCGGCAACTAGATGACGGCCTTTCAAAGGGTCTGTGCATAAGCTGACAGAGAGGGACGCCCCAGAAATCTGTTTGTTTTCTTCCCCCAGGGCCATATCCTTAAAGGCGTTGGTGAGAGCTGCAGGGAAGGATTCTGGGAGAGCCTCCTTTTCTTGGATTTTCATTTTCAGATGCTGGACATTCCTCTGCAGAATCTGATGAGAGGAAAGCACCAGGGTTGGCTTGGCAGCGAGGCTACTTTCGAGATCACTGATGGTCTGTCTTGCTTCTTGGAGTCTCCCGAGGTTCACCAGGCATTCTGTCTTACGCACCATCATCTTGGGCCGCAGTCTTTCAGGATACCCATGCATATCTGCTCTCACTATGTCTTTAAGACACGCCTGAAAACAAAAGGAAATTCCAGGATGACCTGTAGTCTCTATTCTTCACTATGTACTGTAGACGGAAAACCATGGGCATGGAAAGGATCATTAAAAGTGGACAACTTCAGCCGAGAGCTTAGGCCTTAAATTACATCCTGTGGTGTTCTGCTTGGTGATCTTTCCTTTTTCTTTCTTCCTACTTCCTTCTCTCCCATTCATTTCCTTCTCTCTCCTCCTCCCCTCCTTATGCTGGGGATTGATCTCACCTCCCAAGTGACCTTTTAATTGAGTGACAGTAATACTTGTCTATAATATTATGCCTGATTTTTCTTATTAAGCAGTTCTGGCTTTTATTTATTTATTTTTTTTTGAGACAAAGTTTTGCCATATCATATAGCCTCGGGGGGCTTTTAACTGTCTATATAGATCAGGCTGCCCTGAACCCATAGGCCTGTCTTTGCCTTCCAAGTGCTGAGATTAAAGATTAAGCCCGTCTCCCCATGACCAGGTCAATAATTCCATTTTTTAAGAGAAGAAAAGTCTTAGAAAATTAAGAA